TTGTAAAAGACAAATGTGCGCAAAGACTGCAGAGAGATTCACTTGTCGAGTTTCCAAAGGAAATGCATTTTTTATTGATGTATACACAGGAAAACTTAAATAAACTATTGTTTAAAAAAATTAATGTCTCTCTTCCCGTCCGTTCACTAATTCTGAAGAATAAACTATGTATATGTTTTAAAACATTTATTTAAAGATTTTACTTATAAAATTTTTAAATACATGTTAATTCATTGAAATATTATTAAAGAAAAACTACCTAGTTAAAATAAAGTTGGGTCAAACCAATGGTTTGTATTGTAGCACTTTTCCCTTCAACAAGTGAAAATTCTGCTTTTAAATACAGTCTATGTGTAGCTATCACACTATTTAAATTATTTTCATTCATATACAAAACTATTTCTAGGATTGCATATATTTAGGATGACGCATATATGCAGTCTTTGAAATAAAGCAAAAATTAATATAAAAAGGGGTTAACATAATGCTCGATTTTAAGGGTTAATTGTGTGAGTTAAGAAAAGTAATTATATTTTTTAATTTCATGGAATTTACCGTTAGCTTTTTGCGTTTATAAAAATTTGAAAAGCTTGCGGTTTCGGAAATATAAGGTGTCAAAAATTCAAATTTTACGAATTTCAAGAGGTGATAACTTGAGAGGGGGTGGAGATGGAAAAAAATTTTCTTCTAACAAAATGAACTATTTATTAATATCTAAAAGCTCCTAAAATTTCAAGCTTCTACAGTGTGGGGTCTAGAAGAAAAACGACATCAAAAATTTGGAAAAAAAGGACTTTAAATAACTGTAAATTTGAACGGCCATTTTGTTTTTCTTAAGTTGAACTATAGTATACCGCGCAAGGGGAAGCAAGCCACTGCCTTTCCGCGTTTGCAAAATTTCAAAAATGCTTATGGTTTCATTGCAACAAATATTTAAAAAAGGCCATTTTTAGGGTTTTGGGGGGGTATAACTTCTAGAGGGGGGAGATAGGTAAAAATTTTGTTCTACGGAAATAAGTTTCTAGTGAAGATCTATGTACGTATTAAATTTCAGCTTTCTATCTTCAAAGGTGTAGAAGTTTTGTAAACAGACACACGGACGGACGGACGGACGGACGGACGGACGGACGGACGGACGGACGGACGGACGGACGGACAGACGGACGGACGGACGGACGGACGGACGGACGGACGGACGGACGGACAGAGTGAAACTAATAAGCACTTTTTTCAAAATTTTTTTTGGAAAAGTGCTAAAAAGTGGTGTAATGTAGTGAAAAATATTTATGTATATATGAATATGGTGTTTGTAGAATAAGTATTTTGTATATGTAGACAAACATATATAATAAGTTGAAGATTTAATTAAAAAACTTTTTTATAAGAATTAACCTTGAATTTCAAATTTTTAAAGTAAATGCTTATTTTTTTTTTTCTTGTTTGAATAATGATATAAGAAAGGACAAAATTTCATATGATTTATTATAACATATTTTTATACTTAAAAAAAAAAATTATTGTTATTTTGTTCCTTTATTGTAAAATTAATATTATATCGATGTATTGCAATACGATATAATTAACTTAAAATATTGCATAACCCATTTGATTAATGTTTCAATTTGAAATTTTATTTCTCTTCTTTTTGGTCATCAATTACTAAATAATTCTTAGAAAGCATTAATTATAACAAGAAAGCGAAAATATTAACTGTTTTTTACGGTCTTTTGTGTTTTTTATCAAATACTCGGAAGTTTGAGTTGATCAAGTTCTGATCAAGTAAATATGATTAAATGAAGGTTTTCTTAATTCATAATGATTTAATATGAATTTATTAATCGCATATGTATATTGAACACATACTTAGCAAGTCAAAATACAATTAACATTTTTTTATTTAATTAATATTTCGTAAAAATTGCGTAAAATTAAAATGTGTTCAATTTTATTATTTTATACAATGTTAAAAAAATTTGTCTTTTTAACAAAAAGGAGCATTTTAATTTATACGTTTATATGCATAAAGGTACATTAATTTTTATAATCATTAATTTTAATCTAACAATAACTCTTTTTAAACTCTAATAATTGTACAATTTTTAAGCAAATCTTTATAAAATAAGAAATGAGAGCAATCCTAAAACATATAGTTGTTGTTACAATAACATGATCTAATTCAATTCACGATTTTTATATATAAATTGCATATGAAAAAAATAATTGTACACTTATATTTACGTATAACAGTTCAATCTAATAGATTTTATCAAGAGATTTTGTCTCCAAATATTCTATCAAAAATTATTAAAATTTATTAAAACTTTTAATATATATACTCGTAGGAAAGGAACATGAAAAAAATTTAATAAGACCAATTATTAACAGCTTTAACAAAATATATATTGATTTCAAGTCTTAAATGCATTAAATTAGAAAAATAATAAGAAAATTTAAAAATATTTATGACCTTCAATTTTTCACAAATTTTAATTACTTATTTAAAAAAGATGAAAATATAAATGATAACATATGTTTTCTAAATCATAAGCTTAAAGTACTTTTAAAGTACATAAGAACTTTTCATAAGCTTAAAGTTCAATTTAAACTTTGGATGAGATGAATTTGCAGTATCATAAATACTACATATACAAGCATATATATATATTCTCCCCAATAATAAAACAATCAATACCATGAATTGTATCTATCTGCATATGTATGTATGTATGTGTATTAATATTAATGGCACATTAATTTGTCGATAACAAAATAGTACAATTAATTATTTTTATATTCAATTTTTCTAAATTTGAAAACGGAAATACATACACATGTATGTACTTACATATATTCTGTACAAATGCACCTGTTTTCAGTCGAATTTCTTATACATATATTCAAATAACTTCGATAATCTTATTTTTCAGTTTTCAGACAGAACTGTGTACATATATGTATATCCATATATTTGCACATATATATAGATCGTAGAACATTTTTTGGTTTAAGAACGTTATCAAATCTATGTTCTTCTTCTTAAAAGTTCTCAAAAATATAGAAGTTTAGGTTTCCTTGTTTTTATATTCTCTTTGTTAATACGTTAAGTATGTGAGTATATACGACCTTTTTGAACTTATCTATAGAAAAAATTAACGAGCTTTAACATTAGTTGTAAAACCATTCTAATATTCTAAATAGAGATCCAAAGATAAAAGTAAAAAGCTAATAATACATACTAATAATGCACCCCTGCATTTAGTAAATTCGTATGTTTAAGCATTATTAAAGATGAATACATACATATGCATATATACATACATACATATATTATCGATACACTCCGTTGATATTCTAAAAATAAAGTTATTAAATTGTTAGTGCATACTATATAAGAAAATAAAAAAAAAAAAACTATAGAAGATCTGTATATTATTTTTCTCCTTAAGTCTCCTTAGCATCATTAGTACTAGATAAACAAAAATCCAAAATTTGAGGTTGAATTCATAAATTTCATGTTCATAATTTTTATTTTTAATTTATTTATTTACAGTTTTAATTTCTCTTGCCCCTTTATATTACCTCATATTACGCTGGTACATATATAGCTTTTAATATTCTTATCTCATAATCGCATGCTGTTATTTATATTTTTTTATATAATCAACTCACCCGCCAAAAAACCTCCACCAAAAAAGAAAACACCCAATATTCATTAACCATGTGAGCGAAATGGTCCAAAAAATTTGTATATGTGAATGAAATGAAAATTACGATTTTCTTTTTTGATATTCATTTATTTTTTATCCATAAATAAATATTTTGAAAATGCTAAACAAAAATCAAAAGTTTTTTAACTAGATTTGGTGATGATGAAAACGATAAGAAAAAAAAAGAATACACAAAACAATACAAAGGTATCTATAATATAATATATTTTTTAGTTTGGATTTTTTTTCAGTCTCTTTTTTAACATTTACCATACCATAATTTTTTTTGGTTTGTTTTTAACTCGCTTGTAATTTGAATTATTTTTACTGTGCAGTCGTACACTACACGTTGAATTGAAAGCATTAAACAATAATTTTTATACATAATATCAGGTATGAGCACATATATGGTGCGGAATCAGAGATAGTCTTGAGTTTGACTGTTTAATAGTTTAATAAGCCGCCGCCATACAATTAGTCAATAGTTTTAATTAAAAATTATGAACGTCGCCGCGACTTCATTCTGTTTTTTCTTTGTAAAATTTTTGAAATTTATTTATTTTTAGGTGATTTTCGTTTTTAATATTGTGATATGAAAATAAAAATTTAACAACTAATCGAATAAATTACATTATTTTCTTTATTTTCAAAAAAAATGTTTTAATTTGTAATATTAATTTTAAAATTTAACAAATTATGTTGTAATTTAATTAAAAATGACTTCAAATTAAATTAATTATTTTGAAAATTTTAAATCTCGAAAAAAAATTATTTCTTATTTTTGTTTGCTATCATGCTCTTTTTCAAATACAAAATCAATTGAATAAAAAATTTAAAAACATGTGCCTATATTAACATTTTTTTTATTTACAAAATAAATTTACGTAATGAATTCAATTGTATTATGTTAAAATAAATATACACCTTTAATAGATTAAAATAAATAAAATTTGCAAATAAAATAATAAAAACTAGAATTTACTAATAAAAAAAATATTTATTTTAGTAAAAAAAAAATTAAATAAATAAAAATAATGAATTTTATTTTAAAAAATTTTAAGTACGATTTCAAGTTCAATTACGAAAGAAATAAACAAATAGGAAAATTTTACATAATTATACACTGTTTAATAAATAATATATTATATTTAATTGTACAGTGAAAATAAAATACTGCTTTTTTCTTAATAAAGCCCTAGAGTTTTGTTTAAATGAAGGTGTGAAATTTAAGTATGTATGAAATTATACGAGTATCATGTTAAATTTAGAAATAAGCATTGTATATGCGGGAAATTTTATTCGTTTAATGTGAATAAAATTGATAATTAATTCATCGAATTTAATAGTGCATAAATTACTATCACATTTCTTTTTTAAATTTAAAATTGAAGTAATTAAAGGTAATTATTTAGTAATTTAATTTAAATTAATAGATGCGTAATAATATTCTGTTAACGTCTATTTAATTTAGAAATAATACATACATAATTTATTTGTCATCTTTTAATATCTGTAATACAATAAGCAACTACGAAGCTATTGAAGCAACTAAAAGTTAATAATATATTATAAGTATTTGTACGAGTATAAATATTTTTTGATATGCTTATTGTAAACTTGATTTAAGGAAGTACATATTTTGATTATTTTGATTAATTTATGTTATTCCTTAACATTATTTATATATGTTGAAATATGAAGGTAACGAAATGTAATTATCGGGTTTAAATACTTAATTTGTATGTATAAATTTTAACACAGTGCATATAATATAATAATGAATGTAACGTTTAAGTACAAACACGGCTTTGCAGTATTAAGGACATATGTATAATAATATACATAAGAAATTTCAATACATGTACATAATTTAAAAAATTTTATTGAAAATATTTCTTCCATAATTCTAATGTACGGTTGATAATATTTTATTGTTTAATTTTAAAAATAAATCTAAACCAAAATACAGAATATTAATTAATATATGTATATGTACTTATATGTACCTATATGTAGTTATATGTATATGTACTTATGTATAAGAATTAACATCTTATTTTATGCTCTGTGACATCTAAATTTCAAATAAAACGCCAACTTTACAAAGTTTTATAATCCAAATTGTAAACTGAAGACTTTTTACAATGTCAACTGATCCAAAATGCTTAGTAAGTAAATGAAAGCAAGAACAAAGCAAACCATGCATCTAAAATTTTGAATAAGTATATACTTTACTTAATTTTTGTATGCGTTGAAAATTTAAATCGAACAAATAAACATTTCCATATCATATTCAAATTTTTTTTTTAAATTCCTTTTTTTTATAAAATAGTGATCCACAATGTAAAAACAAACTTTAAAATTTTTTTTTACAATGTATTTTTTTTATTACGATTTAGATTGCACAGAAGCTGTGACAAATTTCTCTTAAGAGTTTTTCTTTTATCTTGTTATCTCTAAACTTAAGATAAATAATATCAAAAGAAAACTGTTGTTATGTATAAACCGTAAGCTTACTTAAATTATCAACCGGTGTATTCTACACTAAAATTAACCTAACAGTGCACCTAAACACTCTTACTCTGTAAGAGTAAGATAACTTAATACATGTTTAAGTACACAATAATATACAATATAGGTTTAATACATTTTAACTACATACATTCATATGTCTGTGAAACTTTTTAAAGAATTCTTATAAATAAATAGCAAGTTCAAAATGTACATTAATTGAATATATTATATGAGTTAAAGGTAAAAGGTCTACTTTTAAATTATTATGGTTTTTGTTTTCATTTCGTTTTAATTTTTTTTTGTTGTTTTAGTGAATATTTTTGAAATGGTATCATAAAAGTTTATCTTTCAGCTAACTTTCTAAATATAGAAAAAATTCGAGGTATACAAATTTCGGAATAGAGGGCTCTCTTTTAATACAAAAAATGTTTTTTTTAATAACTTCTTCAATTGAGATATGCTCTTAATTTAAAATAACCAAGAAAGTGTTATAGGTTAATGGTAAATAAAATGGATTATGCACGTATTTATATGTCACTCTTAACTTAATTTAAAAGTTATATTAACTCAATGTGTGTGCCTATTATAAAATAATGTATTCCTATTTGGTATTCTTACTTTGAGGAAAAAAATTCAATATGCTCTGATGTTCATGCTTTCTTAACTTTTCTTGGCTGAAATATTCCAAACATGTGACACATGCAGACTGTACTTATATTTAATGTTTATAAAAATTTTGTTTTATTGTAGTTCTAAAATTTCCTTTATAAATGTAGGAAAAAGCGAAGAGTTTTAAAATGCATATGTTCGTATAATGAAATATTCGAGTGAGAATTTTTTCAATTCAGTCAGTTTGTCTTTGGCAAGTTCAGTCGACATTTTATGATGTTAACCGATATTTTAAGAAAAAATTAAAAAATCTAGTTAAAATGAAGTTTGATCAATCCAATATTTTGTAAATGAAGCATGTTTCCCTTCAACAATCTTTGAACCACATTTTTGAAATTAGTTTCACTCATATACGAATATATTTCAAATATTGCATACATTTAAGATGAGCAATGCATGTAATCTTCGAAATCAAACAAAAAAAAATTTAAGGAGGCCTTAACATAACGATCGAATTTACGGGTTAATTGTACGAATTAAAGAAATAGCTTTATTTTTTCCTGACATACCATTTAGGTTTGCGCATTAATAAAAATTTGGAAAAATTCGGAAATATAACCTGCCAAAAATTCAAACTTTACAAATTTCGATAAGCGATAATTTGATACCGGCTAACGAATTGAATTAATTATGAATATCTAAGAACTACTTCCTTTCAAACTCCTTCAACCTGAGGTGTAGAAGAAAAACCATATCAACAATTTGCTATGTCGCCGTAGAAGAAGCCAGGCACTACTTTTCTGCGTTTGCAGAATTTGAAAAATATTTCTGGTACAATAATTACTTAAAAATTGGAAATAAGTACTTTTTTCTATGAAAATGAGTTTCTAGTACAGATCTATGCACATATAAAATGTCAGCTTTCTTTCTTCAAGGGTGTAAAAGTTTAGTAAACTAGTCCACGGACGGATGGACATAGTGAAACTAATGAGCACTTTTTTCAAAAAATTTTTGGAAAAGTGCTAAAAATGAGAAGTCTTCTTGGAAACACGATACGTCGAATTAAAAAAATCAGAACTTTGATTTGAAAGTGATTATAAAGGGTGACAGAAAAAGTGCCAAATTATTAAACGTTGCTAAGCGTTTTGTTATTAAATTTTGGGTGCACATATTTATCTACGTTGTTAAAAAATATTTTTAAAAATAAATTTTCCCTACTAAAATTCCAAAACACAGTTCTTAATACGGAAATTCTTAAATAAAGTTTAATATATAAATTAACATTATAATGAAATAATTTATTTTCTTTCTTAAGTAAAAGTTAATGTGAGCAATCCACTTTTATGTTAAATGTTTATACATACTTGTATGTATAATGCATGTACGTGTATAAAATAGAATATTATCATAATAAATACTCGTATTATAAACTGCTTGATTGATGTTTACGTGACTAAAATTTATTTGGAAATTTAGCCGCCATATATTTAGAAATAAATTTTATATTAAGAATCCGTTCGAAATTATAAAATTATAAAGCAAATTTTCAGAAATATCTTTAGTTAGATTTCATATATCTACCTATACACATATACATATAATATTTATGATACATTATGGAAAAAAAAAATTAAATTTTATTTGTAATTAATACATTCTACTTCTCTTTCTTATTTTATAGACAGCCTGTTAGACAATAACGCTTAAAATTTAAATCGAATTCCTTGTAATTATAAAATATAAGTAACTAGTAACGTATTATTCAAGTTTAGCTGAAGTATAATGTTCTCCAAATCTTTCATTTTTTCGTTGATTTCACACCAATACGTGAAGCATCTCCTTTTGACAGAAATGTATTTCTCCTTGTCTATATATCAAAAATTTATTTTTAGCAAGATGTCTGTCAATCTGATAACTTCTCTAACTTAAGTTTTTTTATGAGACATGACGAATTGATGTACATATATGTGCAAATCGTAAACATGTATGTACATGTTCTATTTTAAATATATAGTACTTAAATGAATATTTTGAAATACTTAGCACAAATACTTAACAAATTTTTTTTTTTTTATTTTAATTTTTTATTTCTATTTATTAATTGTATATTGAAATTGATAATAAGTGTGTAGTATGTATGTATATACTTCATATTGAAATTGCGTCCTAGCCCTTGATAGTTTTTATATGTTTTTGAATAAAAATATTCATATTCAAGAAAATAAAAGAAATGGATTCAAAATTGACAGCATGCTTCAGATTTCAAGTTATAAATTAAAATAAATTTTATAAATTGAAAAAAGATCGATATATAAGTACAGACCTACTTGTATTTTATGAGTTAATTTCGAAAATTAGATTTAACAGAGATAAATTTTTGGTTATAGTTTTATAAATATATAATAATAAAATATTACATTAATAAAGTTGAGTCAAACCAATGGTTTGTATTGTAGCACTTTTCCCTTCAACAAGTGAAAATACTTCTTTTAAATACAGTCTATGTATACCTACCACATTAAAATTATTTTCATTCATATAAGAAACTATTTCTAGGATTGCATATATTTAGGATGACCGATTTATGCAGTCTTTGGAATAGAGCAAAAATTAAAGTAAAGAGGGGTTAACTTAATGCTCGATTTTAAGGGTTAATTGTGTGAGTTAAGAAAAATAATTATATTTTTTAATGTCATGGAATTCATCGTTTGCATTTATAGAAATTTGAAAAAGCTTGCGATGCCGCAAATATAACGCGTCAAAAATTCAAATTTTACAAATTTCAAGTGGCCATAGCTTGAGAGGAGGTGGAGGTGGAGGTGGAGGTGGAAAAAAATTTTCTTCTAACGAAATGAACTATTTGTTAGTGTCTAACAGATGGAAAAATTTCAGGCTTCTACAACATAGGGTGTTGAAGAAAAACAAGATTGAAAATTTGAAAAAAACTGACTTTAGATAACGGTACATTTTAGAGGCCATTTTGTTTTTTTTTAAATTTAAGTATAGTATGCCACGATAGAGGAAGCTAGCCAATATATTACTGCGTTTAAAAAATTTAAAAAATGCATATGGTTATACTACAGTAAATAGTTGAAAAATGGCATTTTTAGGATTTTTGGGAGGTATAACTTTTAGAGGGGGGGAGATAGGTCAAAATTCTGTTCTACGAAAATTAGTTTCTAGTAAAGATCTATGTATGTATAAAATTTCATTTTTCAAAAAATTTTTTGGAAAAGTGCTAAAAATCCCTATGACAAGAATCATGATTAAGATAGAC